TCCAGTTAAATGTTTCTCCTAAGTACAGATTTTTTTTTTCTTTTTTCAAAGCTTGGCATTGAACCCAGGCTTTTTGCAAGTTAGGCAAATGCTGTACCATTGAACTATATGTCAAGCTAATACAGACCTTAAAGAATGGAATACTCTAGCCTGTTTCAAAATGTTTCTTTTTCTTTTCTCTCTGCCAGAAACACTCAAACTAATTTATAACAAAAGGCTGGTTAATACTTGCCAGAGGATGGAGGAAGCGGAGTAGGGAGGGCAGGCAAGAGGGGGATTACCAAGGGGTAGGAGGAAATTCTGGGGAATGATGGTTATGTTCACTATCTTAATTGTGGTGTTGGTTTCACAGATATATGTATATATGTCAAAACTAAACAAATTGCATAATTAATTGATTTTTTTGAGAGAAAAGCTCTCACTATGTACCCTAGAGTGACCTCTAACTAGTGGTTCTTGTGCCTCGGCTTTCTTAGTGCTGGGATTACAGGCACTCAGCCTGCTATACTGAGTATTTTAAATATATAAATATACACATACATACATATATATACACGTATACATGTATATATGTATATTATTGTATGTTCAGTACAAAGCAGTTAATATAAAAATTTTTCCATTTCTAAAAATATGTGAAAGCTATAGACTTCTTCAGGTAGCAAGGAACCTAGAAAAGAAATAAAGGTCTTCAGAGTTTATGGGGTTTTTCAAGGTCCTTCCTGGAGAAGAGAAGGACCCACCTCCTTTTTCTTTTTACTGGAGCTCACCTCTTTCATTACAGAACAGGCAATAGACTGTCTTTCTGGGGTTAGTGGAATAATTTCATAACTGTGTATCAAACTGAAAAGGACTAAAAGGAGAACTACATTTTGTAGTTTTGCTGTTCCTTTCCTCCACACTAGCTATTATAAGTGATCTTGTGCCTCCTTTTTCATGCTGAAACTGTTAGATCATTTTTATTTATTTCTGATTTACCATCAGTAATCAATTTGTGTTTTTCTTGTTCTTTCTCCTCTTTTGAAAGGTCTCTCAAATTCTTAGCCCATCTCTTCCTTTCTATTTTTAAATATATTACCCTGCTGTCATTACAGAACAGGCCAACAGACTGTCTTTCTGGGGTTAATGTAATAATTTCATAACTAATTCCCTTCTTCTAGTCTAGCCTATGTTATATCAGTTCTTAGACTGATAGTTTAGTTAGCATTATTAAGGATTTACTATGTATTGAACTGAAAAGGACTAAGAATAGGAAACATATATCTCATGGGAAACGTTACAAAGAATCAACAAGGCAGATCTCATCTTATTAAAAATGGCACTGTTCTATAGGTTTGACTGGAAGGCTGGTGTTGATTCCTCAGAGAATGTCTGAGGACCATGATAAAGTCTATACATTATTTGAGCAGGGAAACACTGAAGGCATGCGTTTTCATTAAGATCAGAAACAAGCCAAGCATCCCAGCTGTCTCTACTACTATGTCAGCATTTGGCTAGAGGTAAATTAACTAATGATTTAGGTCAGATAAATCAATCAGAGGTGTTAGGTTTGCATAATGAAGAAGTAAAACTATGTGTGTATGAAGTTAATGGTGTACCTGGATCCCAGACAATTGATAGTAAAACTAACTCAAACAGGCAAGGATCTTAGGGGAGTAGGAGTATAGCTCAGTGGTAGAGGGTATGCTTAGTGTGTATCAGGCCCCTGGGCTCAGTCCCCAGCATGAGAAAGGAGGGAAAGAAGGAGAAGAAAAGAGAGGAGCTGGGAGGAGAAAGGAAAAGAGGGGAAGGGAAGGGGGAGGAGAGGAAGGCAGAGGAGCAGATGAGAGGAAAGGACTAGGATTGGAAGAAAGAGCTCATTGAACTGTCAGATCTACCACATTCATGCCAGGCTGTAATTTGTGTGTCTCAGAAGAGTGCTGGAACTGGTCCACACATGACTATCCATTGGGAAGCATGCACCAGTCCTATGGGTGGTACAAGCAGCTCAGGGGGACAGTCATGCATGTACTAGCAGTGATTTGAGCTAGTGGGAACATGTTAAACTGAACACAGAAGATCAATTTTCATATATAGAAACCATAAATACAGAACATCGTTTTACAGAGAACCCTATTTATAACAGCAACAGAGAAGCTGAAATACACAGGAATAATTTACTAAGAAATGTTTAAAACCTATAGCAGAAAAACTGAAAGCATTCTTGAAAGACACTAAAGCAGCTTAAACAAATGGAAAAACATCCTTTTTTATTGAACAAATTGATTCAATATCCTAAAAGGTATCATTCCTGTTAAGTTAATATGTGAAATCAGGACAGTCCTAATAAAAATGTCAGCAAGTTATTCGATGGAATTAGAAAAAGTGATTCTAAAGTGACTGTGGAAAAGCAGTCTTGCAAAAATAGCTAGGAAGACAGTCAGTTGACCTTCAATAGTGGTGCCAGGAATAGTATTTACAGTGGATGGCATGCTGGGTACCTACATGTGACAAAAATGAATTGGGCTTCTACCTAATAAAACACAGGAGAGTGTACTAAAAATAGATCACAAAAACAGATCTCAGACCTAAAAGTAGGATCTGATAATACAGCAGTGTTTCTAGAGAAAATCGAGCATTAAATCTTCGTGACCATGGGTTAGATAGTGGTTTCTCAAATATAATACCAAACGCATAAGCCATAAAAGAAACAAAGATAAGTAGGACTGCATCAAAATTGAATATGTTATACTGCAAATGATACTATCTTTGAAAGTGAAAAGATATCCCACAGGATGGAAAAAATGTTTGCAAACTATATATCTGATAAGAGACATACGTAGAATTTATAAAGAACTCTCAACTCTTAATAATAAAAAGATAAATAACCCAAATGAAACATGGGCAAAGGATTCGAATAGACATTTGTCCAAAGAAGGTATTGAAATGTATAAACTGGACTCAGTGGTGAATACCTGTGATCCCTGATATTTGGTAGGCTGAGGCTGGAGGATTGTTAAGTTCAAGATCAGCCAAGGCAACATAGCAAGAACACCATCTCAAACAAGCAAACAAGGAAAGAAATCCACATGAGATGTTCAGCATTCTTAGTCATTAGGAAATATAAATCAAAACAAGGAGATATTACCCTACCAGGATAGCAGTTAAAAAAGAAAGATAAAATACAAGGTGTTGGTGAGGATGTTAGAAGAATTTGGGATCCTTATATACATAGTGGGAATGTAAAATGGTGCAGGCATTTTGAAAGTCTGGCATTTCTTCAGAAAGTTATGCATCATCTCCATAGTTTGTTTTTTGATGGTGCTTTAGAAGAGTACTGACGAGTTATTTTATGAAATATATGTGATCTGGCTGGTGTTTTCTGACAAGAGAACAGAGGTTATGCATTTTTGACCTTTTCTTTTTGTGGTTATATAAACAATATTTCTCCTTTTAATTATTTATAACTGTGTAATTCTATGGCATTAATTATGTTTTCAATGCTTGGTACCCATCACCACTATCTGTACTGAAAGCTTTTGCAGCACCCCTGATGGAAACCCTGTTCTCAGAGAAGGCTCCTGCCTCTCTAGATTTGTTGACTCTATGGACTTCTAAGGATCAAATTTCCTTCCTTGCCTTTCCTTCCTTCTTTCCTTCCTTCCTTCCTTCCTTCCTTCCTTCCTTCCTTCCTTCCTTCCTTCCTTCCTACCTTCCTTCCTTCCTTCTTTTCTTCTTCCCTCCCTCCCTCCCTTCTTCCCTCTTTCTTCTTTCTTTCTTTCTTTAATGGTTGAATAATATTCCATTGTATGAATACCATATTTTATCTGTTCATCCAGTAATGTACATTTGGTTTGTTTCCACCTTTTGACTATTGTGACTAATGTTGTTGCTATGAATATCAGTACTGAAGTATCTGCTTAAGTCCTTGTTTTCAACCATTTTGACTATAGAGGCAGGAGTGACATTGCTGGGTAATATAGTAGTTCTATATTCAGCTGTTTGAGGGACCATCAGACTGTTTTCCACAGTGTCTGTACCACTTTACATCCTGGAAGTAATGTGTGAGGATTCCAGTTTTTCAATATTTTGGCTAATATTTGTTATTTTCCATTTTTAAAATTATGGTCATAGTGTTGTAAAGTGATACCTTGTTGACTTTTTTTTTGTACCAGGGATTAAACCCAGGGCTTTTGTGCAGAGCTATATCTCTAGCCCCTTGTATTTATTATTTTGAGGTCTATTTTTCTGAGCTATATTTTTTATTTGGGGGGGTCTCAATAAGTCACTAAGTTGCCCAGGCTGGGCTCAAATTTAGTAGCCTCTGCCTCAGCCTTCCAAAGTGCTGGGATTACATCGTCATGTGTCATCATGCCTCGTATGCATCATCATGCCTGGCTTTTTTGAGACAAGGTCTTACTATATGGCCAAGACTGGCCTTGAGGTTGAACTCCTCCTGCTTCAGCCTTTCAGAGTGCTAGGGTTACTGGCATGTGCCACCATACCTGGCTTTTCTGAGATAGGGTCTTACTATATTGCTCAAATAGGCCTTGAGTTTGAAATCCTCCTGCCTCAGCCTCTGGAGTAGCTGGTATTACAAACGTGCCACCATGCCCAACTTTTCTTACTGGATTTTGATTTACATTTCCCAAATCTTTTCATATACAGGATTGTGTCTAATTACAAAACAATGGAAACAACCTGAATGCCTATACATAAGGAAGTGATTGATTTACTATGGGTTATCCATGCAATGGACTAAAAAGTGTGAGGATGATTTCTGTCAACTGATAGGGAGTTTTTCATAAAAACACTATTGAGTGAAAAAAGTAAATGTTAAGAGTATCTATAGAAAGATACATCTTTTGCATCAGAAAGAAAGATAGAAAACAATACCTACAAGTTATAAGAATTCACATGCATTCATGCAATTTTGAAAAATCAGTACAAGGAGGGTAAACCAGAAGGACAAGTGATGATCATGTGTGCGTTTGCTTGGAAAAGGATGAAGGGAGGGAGGGATGGAAGATGTGCAGCAGGCACGAGGGCGTGATACTGGAGGTGACAGAGGTGGGGGAGGGAGATTTCTTTGGAGACACCATGTTGATGGACACCACAGTTTTAAAGAAAAAAAAAGAGTGGTACATAAATACTGACACCTAGTCAGTAAATACATTTTTTACAGAGGTATGGATTAGTAATTCTGAAACTACTTTATATGTATACTGAAATTGCACAAATAGGCAAATATGTTTTAGATAATAAGAACTGGGTTTTTCACAAATAATGAAAGGGGAAGCTAAATAATCTCTGTTGGTTGGGATCTGAGGGAATCATGTTATGTGTGGGTTAATCTGTATACAATTATTTTGTAGCTTTGTCTCTTGAGAGGTTGTAGAAGCAGTAATTTTTCAGGAATGATGAAGAAACTGAGCATCTAGACTTTTATTCCTAAACTCAGTTCTCCAATGAAAGGGGGCAGAAGCCTTGGAGAATTATTTTAGGAATGGGACGTGGAAGATACTAGAGAACATTTTTGATGTGACAGAAAACAATGAAATGCTTAAAACAAGAGTGTACGTGTGTGTGGGGTATTGTTTAAAGAGAAATGGGAGCCCACCTGGAGAATCTCCTAATGGCCAAAGTTAACAGTTTGAACAAAACAAATAATGATACTGGATTTTAATCCATGGACTAAAGTAAATATTCATGAGTGCATACTTACATAAATAGAGGAGAAAGGACATCTCTTCTTTATAGTAGAATTCCATTTAGTAAATGTGCAAGAAATGCAGTAAATAGAGTACCAGTGTTAACTGAATGCATTAATAATGCCTGTAGATAAGACTCACTGATGGGGGAGGGAGATTTCTTTGGAGACACTGATGGATGCTGAAATTAGTGTGTCAAAGTTGAGGAAAAACAAAATTTGCATAGTCTCCAAGAATCTTGTCAAGATCTTCATTAATCACAAAAGGAAAGATAGTAACTTTTAAAGCAACAAAACCTGACGAAAATTAACTGAGTTCCTGGCATCATAATAAGAAGACATACTGACATGAACCCCATGATGTGATTCACTGAAAGTTTATATCATTTCTATGTAGTCTTGCCAAAATTGCATAACTTCTATCCACTTGTCAGAAAACACCAGCCAGATCATATATATTTGACAAAATAACTGATCAGTACTCTTCAAAAACACCAGCATCAGAAGGCAAACTGTAAAGGTGGTGCATGCCTGTAGTCCCAGCATTTGGGAGCCTGAGGCAGGAGGATCGCTGTGAGTTTGAGGCCATCCCGGGCTACAAAGTGAGTTCAAGGCCAGCCTGAACTGCGTAACAAAACCCTGTCTCAAACAAGACCAAAAAACCCTATATCAGCCAATAAATTGAAAATGCAGTTAAAAACCTACCAATAAAGCAAAGCCCAGGCCCTGATGGATTCAGTGTTGAGTTCTACAAGAAATTTAGAGAAAAACTAATGCTGAAACTCTTTAAGGAAATTGAAAGGGAAGCAATACTTCCAAAATCATTCCTGGAAGCAAGTATTACCTGATTCTAAAACCAAAGAAGAACCCAGCCAAAAAAGAAAATTATAGGTCAGTCTCCCTAATGAACATAGATGCAAAAATACTCAATGAGATACTAGCAAACAGAATGCAGCAAATCATCAAGAAGATTATATACCATGACCAAGTAGGATTCATCCCAGGGATGCAGGGATGGTTCAAAATGCACAAACCAATAAATATAATACACCTTATCAACAGAGCCAAAGACAAAAATCACATGATCATCTCAATAGGTGGAGAAAAAGCTTTGGAAAACCTCCAAAACCATTCATGATAAAAACCTTACAGAAAATCAGAATAGATGGACTTTACCTCAACTTGATAAATACCATCTGTGACAAACCAACAGCCAATATCATACTAAATGGAAAAAAACTAAAAGCTTTCAGTCTAAAAATCAGGAACAAGACAAGGATGTCCACTATCACCACTTCTATTCAATATAATTCTGGAAACATTAGCCAGAGCAGACAAGAGAAAGAAATAAAAGGAATAAGGATAGGAAAGGAAGAAGTGAAATTATTATTATTTGCAGGTGACATGATACTCTACAAAGAAGACCCCAAAAGCTCCACCAAAAGACTTATGGATTTAATAACCAAACTCAGTAGCATAGCTGGATACAAAGTCAACACTGAGAAATCAATAGCATTCCTGTACACAGGCAGCAAACAAAAAGAGAAATTAGTGAAACCATACCTTTCACAATAGCATCCCCTCCAAAAAAATGAAATACTTAGAAATCAAGCTAACAAAGGAAGTAAAAAAAATCTATACATTGAAAATTACAGTACTCTGAAAAAGGAAATCTAAGAAGATATCAGCAAATGAAAAGATATCACCTGCTCATGGGTAGGAAGAACCAACATAGTGAAAATGGCCCTGTTCCCAAAACTATTATACAGATTTAATGCAATCCCAATCAAAATATCATTAGAATATCTCACAGAACTAGAGAAAACATTTCTAAAATTCTAAACCTAGAGTAGCAAAAGCAATCCTGGGCAACAATGGTAAAGCATGAGGCATCACAATCCTTGACTTGAAATTATACTACAATGCTCTCAAGATAAAATCAGCATGGTATTGGCAATAAAGCAGGTCTGAAGATCAATGGAACAAAATAGAAGATCCAGATGCAACTCCAAACATACTTAGTTATCTTATCTTTCACAAAGAAACCAAATACATTCACTGGAAAAGGTTGGCTTTTTAATAAATGGTGCTGGAAAAACTGGCTTTCCACATGTCGAAGACTAATAATAGATCCATGCCTATCACTATACACTATAAATTAAAGTCAAAATAGATCAAAGATCTAAATATTAAAACAGAAATGAATCTACTGGAAGAGAAAGTAGGTAGAAATCTTGAAGACAGGTGTAGGCAGAGACTTTATGAACAAAAACCAAACTTCATGGGAACCAATTCAAAGAATCAACAGTTGTGATCTCATCTCATTAAAAAGCTTTTGCATAACAAAAAAATCAACAGAATGAAAAGATAACCCACAGAGTGGGAAAAATTTATGTCAGTTGTCCCTCAGACAAGAGACATATCTAAAACATATAAAGAATTGAAAAAAACAGACCCCCCAAATTCAAAGACCCAATCCAAAAATGGGTGTCTGAAATGAATACACATGTCTCAGATGAAGAAATACAAACAGCAAATAAATACATGAAAAAAATTTGACATCATTGGTCATTCAAAAGTTGCAAATTAAAATAACAGTGAGATTCCATCTCACTCCTGAAAGAATGGCTGCCATCAAGAAAGTAAACAATAAAAAAACAAAAACAAAAACAAAGCAAAAATAAAGAAAGTAACAAGTGCTAGTGGGGATGTGGGGAAAAAGGAACCCTCCTCCACTGTTAGTGGGAGTGTGGACTGGTGAGACCACTGTGGAAATCCGTGTGGAGATTCCTCAAAAAACTAGGATTAGAGGCCCCATTTGATCCAGCTATTCTCCTACTGGGCATGTTCCCAGAAGAATTAAAAACATCTTACCACAGCGATTTATGTGCACCCATGTTTATAGCAGCACAATTTGTCATAGCTAAATCTTCGAAACAACCCAAATGCCCATCAACCGAGGAATGGGTAAAAAGATGTGGTATTTGTACACAATGGAGTACTAATCAGCCATACAGCAGAATAAACTTGAGGCTTTTATAGGTAAATGATACAACTTGAGACCATACTCATAAGTGAAATAAATCAGACTCATATTTGTAAACAGAAAGTATAAGTAGGATTCAAAATGTACAATAGCTTTTGTGAATTGGGAACAAACTGTTCAAAGGAAAAGAGAAACTCATGGGGGAAAGGAGTAAGGAAGGAAGAGAAAATGGAAAAGTATATATATACACAAAATAGTTAAAATACTTATACAGCTACTTTCTCTTCGTTCATTGAAGAGAAAATTTTGTACTAATATTTTTTGACAGTATTTCTTGCCTATATCTTGTATTCGGAGTAACTACTATGAAGATTAAAATATGCAATGTATTAATTATTGTTACTCTCCTATTAGCCTGCTTTAAAACTGTTTTATATCTGTTTTTCTTCTTCTCTTTAAAATTAAAAAAAAAAAAACAACCTGTATACACTGGAGACATTATGGAGACATGACAACTAAATTCAATGTGACATTTAAATTTTTATTTTTTTACAAGTAAAAATTTTTTGCCTAATGAAATCTATTTCTAAGTTTTTCTTGGAACATTTTAAGCATATTTGTTTAAATATGTCACTGTTTCAGACTGTTCCAGTTCTTTTATGTAGTTCTGGTAAATGAATTCTATCCATGTGTCACCTCACTATGGTGGCTCTGAGGTCCCCCTCCTCCCTTTTGCATTTGGGAAATTTTCTGTCTCTTTGGGTTAACTTCTGAATCAAAACAAGTTTTGTTTTTTGGCTGTACTATAACAAATATGCTTGTTGGGAGTGGGGTAGGTTGCTTCTTGTATTAAATCCACTGTATCAATGAGAAATCTTGTTCTCCCATTTCTGTTCCATTTATGAACAATATCAAAGACCACAATAATACTCACTTCCCTAATTATTTTATAGTTACAATATCTTTTTTTTTTGTCTCTGGTAACAGTATATTATGGTTGAGGTCATATTTTCCCCCTTGCTTTGGTAACAGAAGATTATCAATTTACTGGAAAGTTTCAAAGATTATTAATTTATTGGAAAGTTTAATTTGGAATTTAAGTGAGGACAAAAAAGGAACAGAGACCCTTTCCTTCTTTCTACTTTATCATCTTAGATGCAAAAAAATTACTGTGGCAAAATATGTACTAATAAAGAACTGGAATCAAAGTTGCTGAAAAATAAAACTTCCCTCCTACCCCAAGATGTATCCCACCTCAAACACTGACAACCACTGACTAGATTTGAATTCTGCTGGGCTTGGGGAACACGTTTATTATGTTTGTGGTTTTAAGAAATATACTAGACAGGAGACTTTAGTACCATTTAGAATATATGACTGCTGGGGAAAATGTGAACTTGGGCAAATAATTCTTTCATACACCTAAAATATATTGTTTTTATTAATCCATAAAAAAATTAAGAATGAAACCTGAAGAAGTCAAAGAGGTGAAAGAAGATAAACTCTGAGTAAGTAAAGATTCGTAAAACAAAAAGATTATGAAATGTAGCAGTCATTCAGATCATATGAGAAGGGCAAGGGAAAAATCTAAAAGTGCTCTGTCAAAGAAGCATAAATAAGTATCAGCCCACTATGGGAGAATTTTTTTCCCATCTTTGCATTGATCGGTGTCTTAATCTGTTAGCATTGAAAAAAAGTGTTCGTAGCCACTGAGTTCTTGGATTAAAAGCACAACTCATATTTTATTTTGAAAGCTCCCCTTTTTGGTAGATGATTATAAAATTAGTGGAAATTATATTCCCATTGGAAAATCAAAAAGCTTAAAGGTAACATCCACCTGATATAAACTGATATCAGCTGAATCTAGTGATAAAAATATGTTTCCGCCACTGAAATTTCTATTTGCCCAGTTGAAACTTCACTGTGCCTGGTATCAGGCCTATTTTTGCTTGCACCATTTTGTATTCATAATGGTGTTAAAGTCTTCATTTGTCTTTGATGTTTGCTTTTAATGTTTACTTTCTCAACAAAAGTGAACTGAAAGATATGTGAATCACTTTTATATGAATTTAATTTAAACTCGGACATAGTGCAGCTAAGGCAAGTAGGATATCAACTCTGCCTTAGGAAAAGGCTCTGTGACTCAGAGGACTATTCCTTGGTGGTTTGAAAAATTTCATCCTGAGAATATGAGCCTAAAAAAGAGCCTTGAGGGAGACTCACCTCTGTTTCAAGAGAAGATAAGCTGAGAGCCATGGCAGAAGCTAACCTCAAAACAGCAAGTCTAGGCCTTGGTGCAGATATAGAAGTTTTGCTACAACAATTTCTCAGTACCTGGCTGCATTTGGAAAGGTAAAAACTGGACCAGTGACTAGGCACCTGTTGATGGATCACTACAGCATGAGACAGGTAAAATTTGAAAAAGCAGAGATACTTTGGAGAGGACCACCAGCTTTAAAGGATACTGTATATGGCAATTGGAAGTGATCTGATCACTGGCTTGGTGTTTGTGAAATTGCCAAATGTTTGTTAAAACAAGTGCAGTCAAAAAAGATGCCAGTAACTGCAAGACTATTGCGTTAGTGCATCTTTTAACCTAGGTAAAACTAATTAGCATCATATTGTCAAGAAGTTGAAATGCATAAAAGTTGAGTAGTCTGCACCGGTTAGCAGATATGAATCTTTTCTGTGACAGCATCCAACCACAGGCATCATAAACAACCATAGCAAAAATCACAGGGCTATGAAATTTTGTCCCATTCATTTTACTGGAATTTTTCTCAACATACTACTACCTTTTTTCATCATTTGGAACTCTTAAGAAACAAAACATTTTCTGGTTGAGAGGCAATAATTGCGTGATTTGAATAAATTTTAACAAAGCTGAATTTTATGAACATTGTATATGTCATTTAATATTGGGAGAAATTTATCTTTTGGGGATATTTATCATTTGGACAGCAGTTAATGCTAACTACATATTTTGGCCAAATAAAATTTTTTGGTGGACTCTGCCTTGCTCCTAAGAGAGTAAAGCTTCTGATTTAGCTCAGATGAAACAAGGGTGAGGCTCAGTGGTCACAGAGCACAAGAGGTTGGCCAGTGTAAAAGAACACGATGTTATATGATTAGTCTCTCAAGAGTAAATAGTAGCTGTTCTATGACTATCTATCTCTTCTCCTTAGGCCTCTGGTTATATTTTCAAGCAGGATGGTGGTCCAACCCAATGGAGGGGTTGGGCTGGACCAAATAAGAGCAGTGAAACACACTGAGACAGGAAAGGAGCACATTAGCACGCTGTGCTGTTCCAGGGATCTCCCTGCCATCTCCCACAAGGCATGCAAACTGTAGGTACAGAACAGGCCCTGTGGTTATTGTGTATACATGCATGCAGCTGTGCCTGCAATAGCTTTAAATTCATAACTCTTTAATTCAGGAGTTATATTGGCTAAGAAAAAGGGAAAATTTTATACATATCTAGACTTGCAAAGTATCACAATGTTCTTACTCCTTTTTTCCCAGAAGAAAGAAAAGCTTTTAAAAGGCTGCTTGGTAGAAAATTCGTTTTGAATGTCAAAATATGAAAGGAGTGGAGATGAGGGCAGTTACATCTTATTTCTCCCAGTCTCCCTTCAGCCTTAATTGCAAGAGATTAAAAAGTGGTATTGAATTGCCATTTTATCAAGTACTTAACTCCTATTATTAAAGCGCATGCCTACCCTAATTACATAGTGTGAGCCCAGGACACCTACAGCCACTTTAGTAGTACACATGAAAGATCTCGGGCACAGGTACGAACAGCATCAAAAGTCGGGGAAAAGTGGAGTCTTCCAGCACCTGCCTTCAGTGTGTGGGATTCCCCCTCCTCTCTCAGTTGGCGATGGAACCAGAGTCTTCTTTCATGTCCTTTCTGTTCTCTGAATACTTGCTACTCCCCCTTATCTCCTTAACTATCCACTAGACCAATTTCCTCAAGGAAGTCTTCTCTAATTCCTTTACCTCAGGTCACCTTCCTGACTCTTGCCCTACCAGGTGTTCCTCCTCTACCTCTTCACCCAGTCCTTTGCAATAGAAATTAGCCAGGAAACAGCCCTGTAAAAAACTCTCCTTCCCCAAGCAAAATGGCCCCCTCCAGTTTTACTAGTAGTATGACCTTACTGTTTTAATCCGGGTCCTTCTCTCCCCACTGCCTTAGGCCTGAGACCTGAGTCAGTTGCTGGACCAATCATTCTCAGCTTCAAGCCCAAACTTGTCACACTGCCAATTAAAAACCCTTATTGCCCCTTCATCCTCAGGGTGAAGCCCAGATTCTCTTCCAGGGCACCGAAGGCTTTCAGAAGTGGATCTGCCTCTGTCCCTCAGCCTCAGCTCCGCCCTGAGCTTGGTGTACCCACCACGTGGAGCTGCCGCTGTTGCCTTTGCTCAGATTGTCCTATTTGAGTGGGAAATCTGTCTCCTTCCTCTGCCCTCCATTTTCTTTACAAGTGCATCTGCACTTGTAAATGTTTTTGTGGTGTTTTTTGTCTATAGACAGTAGCCTTTTAAACATGTTTTGCTTTTCAGTTGACGCTTTTGGAGATGACTCAATGTGGATCTCACTCATTGGATTGCTCAAGCAACTGGTTGGACACATAGGCTGTTCTGGACACACTGTTCTGGTGAGCAATACGACAAAGGGCAGCGTTTGAGGGTCCAGGTGGAGAATATTCATTCAAATTCCTCAAGGTGAGATTGGTAGGTTAAATTCTAGGTTGATGAGTCAACCTATTTGCTTTTCCCGGTAACCACAGAGCCTCACTCTGTGCCAGTGTTAGGCTGTCTACACCACTAACCTGCCTGTTCTTTGAGGCAAGAACCTCAGTATTCATGTGTCAGGCTGAACTGGCCTTCAAAATATTTTATAGTCTGCCACGCCAAGTCCAGGGATTAGCAAATCGCAGACTCATTAAATGCGCACTGTAACTCCTCGCTAACTTTTGCCAAAGTGTATTAAAGGTCAGGACCTGCGCGAACACCTGGGCCGCCCTGCCTTTCCAGCCTCCCGTTTCTCCGCCCCTACGTTACGGAAGAAGGCGTGCCTGGGCCACGGCCCGCCCCACCTGCATATTCGTTGGTCGGGATCCACGTCCGTCACGCCCGGGTCCCGCCCAGACAGCGCTGCCCGCCGCCTCCGGCCGGGGGCAGGGGACAAGGCCGTTGCCAGGCCGCTGAAGGCCCGCTCCTCACGTGAGGCGCGGGCGCGCTCCCAGCCGCGGTTTGAGGACTGTCCCTCGCCGCCCCGCCCCCGGCACGC